AACAACAGCAATTATGATTCCACAAAAAAAACCTGCTTGCCTGACTAAGGTCTCACTAACATAGGGTCTCCATTTAAATGTAACATCCTACGTGACATATTCTCATCATCACTAGTTCAGATTTGATGTGGTCTGGGTGAAGAAGAGGGTAGTGTGGTGCTGTAGTCCTGGTACAGACATACCATTCCTTAATGTTAGACAGCTGAGTAAGCTGGGTTGACAGAACGCTGGCTCCTTCGTGGGGTCCTGCCTATCTGATGCCTCTGGGCCAGTTGACTTTTCAGGCCTGATAGTGAAAGATCCAAAGGCATTGCCATTGGCGACGAACTACGCAGCAGCAACTTATGTCTACTTCGTTGGCTGAGCTAATATCCAATTCATGATTAGACAGAAGTGGGAAATTGATGTGTTTGCTGCCAAGGGATGGAGAGAGTCGGTTCATCTTAAGGTCAAGGGGCTCAAGAGAGCCTGATGAGGTTGTTGAAGTTGAAGAGAGTCGTACGCGTCCTGGGGTTCAGAGGTAGGTGACAACTTTACATGAACCTTCATGTGTTTTCTCAAGGAGCTAGGGTGGGTGTAGAGACTTGGTGCACCCCAGAGCCTTGCAGTCGTAGGGCTTTGATGCTGTGTGGACCTGTGAGTGCTTCTTCCGGTCGCTGCTGTTGGCAAATCGGCGCTCACAAAATTCACACTGGAATGGCTTCTCACCTGCAACACACAATCACACTAACTATTATCACAGACTTTAATGAGCTTCTAACTATTGTACAAATGAGAGGATACACCAAACCTAACATACATTGTTTCCTAAATGTTGTGGTTTTATTGATATTGTGTGAATGAAATGAGCTAAAATAAACTTACTAAGTAATTAAATGTACTTGATCAGTGTTTTATAGACAAGGTCAATATGAAGTCTGAAGGAGTTTTGAGAGTGTATTACAAAAATTTCATAACTTCCATGTCATCTTACTAAGACTTCTTTTTTAGCAAACTATAGTTTAACATTTCAATATTGGATGTAAAGCGTCTTTTGAAAAGCTCAATAAAAACAGTGACTGAGGTGGATTTAAAAATGCCAAGAGATATGACACAACGTTCAAATATGAATGCAAGCTCAGAGAGGTTAGGCTTATTCATTACTTAAGTTATGCCAGATATTTTTATCAGTGCATACTCCAAAACATGTTCTGTATCTTTTTAAATGAAATTACTGAACTGTATGCACTAGAACCTGAAAAGAATGACTGAAGCAAATAAGTGTAGCTCTGAACATCAGAAATATGTTCACAACATTACTATTTGGATCTCTGCGGACAACAGATAGTCTGACCTAACATAATAAATACTATATTAATCCGTAGAGGTTGTCTTTCTCCTCTGATTATTATTATCATTCATAGCACTATTGATGACCATTGCTGTCTGCCTCACTGATTTACTAGCATCTTCCACTCAGTGAGGAGCAATGACATTAATAGCTATCAAAGAGTAAAGGCAACACATAATGATGTATGTACATGTGCATGGATCCTCAGAAGCACACACCAATGTAATCTCTGGAACGCTTTGTCTTTGCTTTTGTGCAAGAGATGGTGCAATTACTAAAACATTGTCAGCATGACCTGTAATTACCAGATCTGCCTGCAGAGAAGTGGTGGCCTCGGAGCAGCCTGCTCACTTTAATAACTGTTATTATTATCCAGAGAGCATGACAGAACCGGAGAGAGAGAAGCGGATAGAGGCATGGAGCACACCATTGTAGGCCTGAAATGAAGAAGGACATTTTGTAAATGAAGGGATGAATCTAGGTGTGTCGGAGAAGAAATAATAACCGGCCAAATCTCTGTGGGAATGCTAGAAATGAATCCAAGGTTGGTCCACCAGGCTGACGGGGGATTGGCTAGCAGAGTAATTAGAGGACCCAATCCAGACCTCACCACACAGCCACAGTCTTCAACGGTAGACAGCAGCAAGCAAGCCATGGAATACCAATCCTGAGCCACGGTCTGGGTGCACAGGCACCAGAGAGTCTCTACCTCTGACAGGAACACATTGAACAGTCCAGACCAAACATCCATTTTGATATTAATACGCTCTGCAGCGCGACCACAGCCTTTCAGATGAACAGAATTATCCTCATGAGCCAAAGATTATCTGATATACCAACATTTATCCAATCAAGCGTCCTTGCAGTGTTCCTCTAATTCCCCCTGAGGCTTTTCTCCATGCAGACACTGTGTCTTAAAAAAATGTGCTTACCATCAGTGACCTCTAGCAGAGCCTTTGTGATGACACTGCCTGCTATGTTGAGGGCCTGACAACTGTAGTATCCCATGTCTGAGCGTTCAGCATCAGTGATGGTCAGGTCCCCAGTCTGAGATACAGACAACCGGCTGGAGGGCTGAGGAGGCTGGTAGGAGAAGAGCAGGTTCTGTGGGGGATGAAATCAGATGACAAAAATCAGACTTTCATAAACAGTAGAATGGCTATAATACATTTATTGGAAAGGTTTAAGATTTCACTCAAAGTAGAAGTCCTTTCAAGGGAAGGTTGGCCATTTTTTCCCCCAAAGATTTGGATGAGTGTGCTAGCATGCTGTCCAAATGGATTAAGAGCATTTTGAAATGAAAACCTTTCTTCAAGTTTACTGTGTTTACCTGGCTGCCTTCCTGCTGCCAAAAAATGGCTGGCTGTGGGTTTCCAGTGGCTTCGCACTGGAAGGTGACAGTTCTGCCAACGCCAACCACCTGGTTCCTTGGTCTCACCACAAATGCTGGGGGCACTGGAGGACAGCCATGAGAATGGTTAGCCATTGAATAGACAAACTTGCCATAGTTTGTTATTATAGGAATCATAATATTACAGTTAGATGTAGCTAGGGTTATTTGAATAAACAACAAGGGAACTTTGACTAGAGCTGTGGTGCCTGTATTCACAGGATTTAGGCTCATTTTCAAACTTTGCACGGTGTGTGCACTGCAGATTAAACAGAACGTTGATCAAATTCAAAATGCAAGCATATTATAGATGTAATGAATAGAAAAAACAAGGGTTACTACCCTGCCCCCTCATTTGCATGGGCAAGGGCATGAGCTGTTAAAATTTACATGGAAATGGGGAATAAATTTGAGCCATCTGTCCATGCTGACACCCTCCAACAGCACAGGCCTGAACCAGGATGCTGTATCCATGCATCTTAATGACAAATTCCATTTCAGACTAAGTGTGTTGTAGTAGCCCAATGCCATGTTTGCAGCTATACAGTGGAACTGGACCTGGCTTGTCTAATAGGCCATCAATGTGAGGAGACACATTTTGAACGTAAAGGTCAAGAGGCAGACCACCTTCAAAAGGATTTTTAGATATGTCCTCAAAAATCATAAATCTGCTGGTATTTTAATTCTTCCATACAGATGCTGTGTGATGTGTAGGGAAAAGCAATCTGAAAACTGTCATTTGAAATACAGACATAATTTGTCCGTAAATAAGACGGGCTGTGGTAATGCATAAAAGGAGCAAATAATAGAATGAAATGATGCAGCTTTACCTTGGAGGGCCCAAGCTGAGCACATTTTTACCCATTAATGTCCTTTTTGTCACTGTTGCCCATGACAACAGAAACATGAGTTCTGATTGGAGGGTGGAGTAGTGATGGGAGGTGGATGGAGGGGGGTTGTGACAGCTTCCTGTCTCTGTCAGGGCGGTGAATAGGTGACGGGTGACATTTCAACTTACCAGACACGACTAAAAAGGAAACAAAAACACAACAACAAAAAACCCAAAGATGAATAAATAAATAATAAACAGCATGAGAGAAAGAGGAGAGATATAAGAAACATAACAATGTGATGTCCATGGTTTCAAAAGAGTCATGTTTTTATGATTTGTGAGTGTAAAGAATTGTCATATTTGATCCCTTGGCTCAAACCAAAGGAGCACATGTTACAAAAAGCAAAGAATAGGCACCATGAGTGATCAGGAATGCATTACAAATGAAAACACACAAAAAACATCTGATTTAACGTTCTAAAAAGGGCACGTTCAAGGACAGGAAAACCTCTGGATAAAATAAAACGAAATGAAAAAACACAAAAAACCATAAAAGGCACCATACAGATGTTTTATCCTTGCTCTGTTTATTTTTTCCCTCTTCGTCTAGATGTTGTGTGAAGGTGACCATCTTTGCACCCTTAATGAGGTTTAGAGCACCCCAGAGGAGCACACGCAGCCCTGTGTAATCCTGGGTTCATAAAACCACAAGGTGAATGTTAACTGTCACTCTTTGGCCATAAATCTCCCCTGGCCAATCACTCACCTTATCTAATCTGTCTGCTTCAACGGCTCCCACGGAAACATAAACGCTGTCAGTCAGAGTAATGACCCGCCCCTCCCTCCTCCCCCTTCTGGCCTTTAAAATGCAGATAAGACTAACATCAAAAGCTCCCAGAAGACGACGCTCACCGCCGTCCGTGTGTGACAGCATCTAGATGCACACAATCATGAGGCTATACACACCCACAAATAGACAACCCACCCCCCAAAACATCTACACACATGCACTCATGTGTGTCTAAGCCTTTAATGTGGTAACCCAACCTCTCCCATGCTGCTGTGATCACACAGATGCAGACCTGGAGGGAGAGGTGAGCCTTATATCTGGCCGCGGTACTTTGTTGTGGTCTTTCTGCTAGCTCACAGCACAGAGGGGAGTCGCTATCAATAAACTGATCAGAGTAGCTGAGAAAACACACTGAGCACTGTGGCCTCCAGCCCAACAGGAGGCAGGCTGTGTATCTGAGAGCACAGTGGAGATATCGATGGGGATTTTAGCTTTGCTGCTGTTCTACGGGCCTAACATAACAACAGAGAAGCAGGACTGCATGCAGAGGATTTATCATGATTAATAGTCACTCCCATTGGGAGATCGGTAGCATGCTTAAAATATTCTGAGCCTCGAATTTTAACTGTCGGACAACTTTGTGTGACAGTGAGTAATACAGATAATTCAAAGAAAGTTTCAATACAGAGATAGAGATACAGAGCAAACAAAAAAAGTACATTTCTAGATGTGGCAGCAGACCAGCTTTTGGTATTTATCATCACACACAGGCTGCTGACAAGAGAGTTCCTCTCTTTCCTTCTCTTTTGGCACAGATTCCAAGTCTCCATCCAGACCCTTTACATGGGTTATTAGCAATGCTGCTCTAGGGACTACCATTCCATTCAAGGCTTTACTACACATAAATCACTGCTAACGGCAAACTCAACCAGCTGAGAAGAAATAACACGTTGATTTTTTGACTTCTGTCCAAAACAGTCTCAAACAATATTTACATTCCTATAGTGGAAGAGGAAGTCCACTGTTGAGGTTTAATTAACAAAATACAGTATAAACATTATCTAACCACAGCAGAGCCAGATCAAAAATGCCTTTGTGGGATTTGTTAGATCCTTAAAAAACACACTCCAACATGTACGCACACCCCAACTGACATAATAGAGCTCATCTCACTTACTGCATTCTCATGTGGTTTACATTAATGATTTTACGATGAAATAATAAATACGGCTTGTGACTTGGCCAATTATGCGTTTCTTCCATCAATCAATGGAGTATTTTACTTGACATATTTATAAGTCCGGAGGAGGTGTAGTGGACCGTCAAACACGTGTGTAAAACGATAATTCATAGATTAAGTTAGTAACGAGAGCACAGCACATTGAAAGAAAAACAGCCCAGGGCATGACTTCCACAAAGTCCACATTGTTCACTGACATTCAGACCATTGGAAGTGTGAATTGTGCCTCTGTCCACAGAGAGATGGAGTCTACTCATGAACTGTCCAGCTTTGAAATGGGATTTACTTTGAAGAACAGTTTCTTAATATTGTGTATTACTACACAAGACACAATATTACAAGACTTTTATTCACATACAGTATGGTTTCAAATCCTCTTAACTTGACTTCTCCTTGATAAAACAACATGGAATTCATTAGCTACTGTTCAACAACAGCCAATGTTTGCCTTCAACCTCTTCCTATCTACTTAGCTAGCTAACAATAGTTTCAGCCCCTAGCTAGCAATAATAATTCCTAGAAAGTGATTCAACGCTAACACAACATTTTGCCTGACCATAGTTCATGGCTCTTTAACAAAAACAGCTTCTTATCCCTCAAGATTTTTCCCATTCATTGAAGAAATGAATTGAAGTGATTGGTCCGACTTCCTTTGTCATACAAACCATTACTTCAAAAAGAGTAACAGCATTTCTGCTGCCTTCCCTGAGATTACATCAGAGGAAAATTGATACTGTGTCAATATGGTCAATAAGAAAAACTTTTTAAAAACTGTTTTAATTCCACTGACGTTATATTCCACTTATACCTCCCAGCTGATTTAGAGAAAAAACTTTAGTTCAAAGAATATTTACATTAACTCCACTTTGGTCTTAAGTATCAGATTACCCATTTTGTGGCTTGGTTCTCTCTGCCAGTCGCTCAATGCCACTGAAGTTATTTTATTCAGCTGCTCAGTTATTCTTATGCAGCGGTTTAGCAATCCTGCCATACTTTAACTCTTGATGTAGGGCGACAGCAGCGCCCACTTAACCCACAGACTAAACTTCTGCCCCCCCACATCACTGTTGTCTTCACTGCTACATTGAGCGACATCTTGCTACCTACACATCGTTTCGCTTCCTTGGCCAGTTAAGACCTACAATTACCCGGCTTTTCTTTCCTTTACTATACCCTCATCTGTAATTAGAAGCATGTCATTTCCGGGCGTGGGACTGTGGTCTGCTTGTCTTTAATTAGCTGGACTACTCAGTGCCCACAGCCTGCCTGGCCTCCTCATGTTTGGGTCTGGATGGAGCTTGGGGATCTGAATAGTATGGTTCTAGGAACTTTGAGTGATTGGGGGCAAATGTCAAATATACAGTATACCCATGAGATCAAATTCCTATGGTTTGTGTTTTTTCGTTTAACTTCCGGTCAATAATTCTAAAGAAAGCATCAACTGTGTCCCTCTACATCTTTGGCAGAGGTTCTTCTTTGCTGAAGCGTGATCAATTCAAGTGATATTACTTCTAAGTCCATGCCAATCTAACTCACAACATGGGGGGTTGAAAGGCATACTGTATGAATATGGTCAGTACCTTGCTTCTTCAATAGGGAATTGGCCTGAGGTTAAGACATTTCCAGAGAGGACAAGGACAGTTTTAGCATTTCAAATATGTCTCTAAGCCAGAAGATCACCTTATTGAACCAGGGCATCAATGCTGTTCCCTTTCATTAACTAAGCCTTCATCAGGGAGAGGGAAAGAGTGAAAAAAGGTAATAAGAGAAGCAGATGTATTGATGGGTGTATTGGCAGATGAGCCTAATCTTGCCCTCAAAACCAATCTAAAGATTTCTGTGTTGCGGAGAAAATCAAGAAATAATTGCAAAGGGTAGCCAAGTGAAGATGAAATATCTGTGTTTGCGGGTGGGGGTTGGCAGAGGAATAGGATTGCCTTGTCTCTTTATATCTCCGCTGTGCTGACTGCTTGGAGTGACATTAATATGACTGACCTAACCGCAGAAACCTCTCTCCCCATATATCCTCTTCACCATAATCGCCCCCAGTCCCAATTCCCAACCCGTTCTGCATCAGTGGTGAGCCGCCACCAAGACCAACATACCCACTGTCCTACCAACCAACCCCTGTCTCCCATCCTCCACCCTCCTCCTCCTTCCATCCCTTCCCTCTTCACCCGACTCCCAACACTCCCATTAGTTTGGCGTTAAATGGCTCCTGTGTTAGTCTGATTCTCAGGAGGGTTTGAGGGTGATCCCCAACCCCCAGTCCCCTTCAATGGTTCCTTTCTGAATGTTCACACTCTGTGACCAGCTGCTTTATATTCCAACTGTGTTAATAAGACGTCCAAAGGAAAGGGTCACTGGAGACACAGATATTCCATAGGTTCCCAAATACTACTGTATATCTGTAAACATGAAGGAGGACAGGCCTCCGGAGAAATGCCACTTGTATAGGGCAAATGAAATCGATTGTTGTTGAGCTCCCTTGTGCACAACTCTACAGCTCTTATGGATTCCTGCGTTTCTTTTTATTAGAAATCAATCGGCTAATTGAGAGAGAAAAGTTGAATGTGATGACCGTGTAGCACTAAAGCTGGAGGCTATTATTGCAATATGGCTGGGCTAAACTGCATTTGAATCAAGCTGCACAGAAAACCCAGAGTGGAAATTAATTAAGAATGACTGTAATTGGAAAATTTTGCAAATTAACTTTGTAAAGAAAAAAAAAAAGAACTCTGTCTTACCGTGGACGGTGAGCGTGGCCGATGCCTCCGCCTTGCCGACCATGTTCTCTGCCACACAGCTGTAGGAGCCCACATCTGCCGAGGTTAGACGACGGATCTTCAAGGTGTGGTCTTCACGGATCTCATATCTGGATTAAGGCATGTATTCATGTATTAACGCTGTCAAACACAAAAACTCACTGAATGCAACATGCGTCAGCAGATGCCGCAAACAAAAGCGACAGTGGATCAAACAAAAGGCAGGCAGAGGGTAAAGGAAGGAAGGTTTATGACTCATACCTTCCTTTAGGTAGGTCACCATCATCTTTCCTCCAGCGAACGGTGGGAACTGGGTCACCTCGGGCCTCGCACCTGAACTCCACACTTTGGTCCACTAATACCACCTGGCTGCCTGGGCGACGCACAAAGCTGGGACGCTCTGCACAGATAAAAACAGCACACAAATTAAGTTAAAGCCATTTAATCGGTGGCTTTGAATCCCTCAATATATCTTGGCTTTAGGCTTTACAGTCAGGCTTTAGAGCTACGATTGAATATAAATTGAAAATTGAATAAAACCCAGCGGAAAAATACATCTTGAAAAAGTTTAGTTTAAATCGTTCAGTTTGGGTCACATGAGGTGTTCTAGAATAAAATAACGAAATAATGTGACGTTATAACTAGGTTTTGTCTCCAAAGACATGACGTGAGGAGGTTGCAGATAATTTATGGTTATCCAATTAAACAAGTTAAAAATACAATCCAGACTAGACAGTACACAGTCTTCACAAGTCAAACTAAGAACTGGAAAGAGGTCCTGCTTTGTAGCGTGTGGTTTAAATTACGCATGACGGAACACTAAACTAATTAAGGACAGGACAATAAAAAAACCTAGACACAGAAAGTCTTACTCTCTTTTCATCTCTGGTTCACTCTGGTAACAAAAAGCGTAACTTTCAGTAGCTCCGAACACATTCCATCATACTTGTCCCAGAAATGGACCAGGTTTACGATTAATTCAGATTCACCAACTGATTTAAGCCCTGTCAGAATTATTGTAGTGGAATTATTTATCTTAAAGAACACGTGTTTGTTTTTCTCCTTCTGAAGGATTATAAGAGCTCTCTGAGGAGGAGAGGTGGAGGAAGTACAAAGCTGGTGAGAGAATCAGGAGTCTGGACATGCTCTCTGTTTGGGACACAGCAGAGTGTTGGGGTCAGAGGTCACTTGTGGTGAAATAGGGTGCAGCTGGTCATAGGAGAGAAGCCACTGGGGGCTGGCGTGGGATTCATAGTTAAGTGTGAGATTGGAGGTCATCTCACACTCTATCTGATACAGGTCAGTGACACCATTTAGCTCCCCGGGAGATAGACGATCAAAGTTATCATCTTTTTCTCGCTGCGCAGAAACAGAAAAAAAACATGTTGTGTGTGCGTGTGTGTGAATGTGCACTGACAGTAAAAAAAAAAGACAACAAATTCTCATTCTTTAAAGGAGAAAAAGGGAGATCATTTACCAAGCACTGTAAGTTCTGCTATTTCACTTTCTCGTTCTCCGACCATGTTTGTGCCGACGCAAACGTACTTCCCGGCGTCACTCTTCCTGGCATTTGTGATCATGAGCTTTCCTCCACGTATCTGAAGGAACAGAAGAGGAAGAGGAGGTGAGAGGCTAAACATGGAGAGGAAAAACAGCAATATTAGAGACATATTTGGATATTTGTTTGACGGAGAGAAAACAGAAACGAGCTTGAAGATTACAAAACATTTCCTTAATTGCTTTTGGAAATTCCTGCGAGTTTTAGTCAGC